AAGAGATTTCCCCAACGGCAGGACGTGCCCTGCTTTGCACAGAAACCTAGAGGCGTCCTGTTTCAGAGAGTACAACTGCCTCTCAATGAGTTCCGATTTAGCCAAAAGCGCCTGGCTAAGGTCGCTTGGAGGACCGACTCGAGCGAGCGGGTGAAAGTGATAGAGTTTTGCTGTAAGTTATTAAGTAGTACTTTTGAAGAAATCGAATAGACTTACGCCAGATTTGGATCGACGAAACGTAGGCGATCGTAGAAGTCGGTTTGCATGGCTTGTTGCTCTTTTCGGGCGGCCAAGTTACGAAGCACTCGATTGATGGATGAAACCTAAGCAAACCAGAATATCTCGGTCTAAATCGGCTTGGGCTTTATGATCGTCGTCGATGAGGTTGGCACGTTAACATTTAATGTCATCAAATCTGTCTGCTTATAAGTGCTAATGACTACGTGAGGGGGGGGGGGCGAAAATTTCCCATGAACGATGATGATGATCTTGAAAATGGACACGACAAGAAAACCCAGACATCAAAGAAATCGCGCCAATAATCGGACACATAATCGGTAGGGAGTAAGTGTGTATGCAGTAGAGTAACGAAAGTGGTAAATGTAGAGTGGGAAGAACTTTTACATCTTAAAATGACAACCACCGTACCACTATGCACATGACGAAACAGGAAAACGAGAATGGTAAGCATCAGGCGCCAGGTGACGCAGTGTGCCGACGTTCGTACCTGGCTTAGGTAACGATTTGCCTACCGACGTGAATTGAGCTTTCAGATAAGGGCCAGAACAGGACCTGATCCAGGCCCGGATTCACTATCAGAAGAATATCCACCATGTATTGCAAATAGATATTAAAACAATTTAATACAATCGTCGACTAGATGACGTCCTTGAGGGGGTGGGGGATGGTGGGGGGAGAGAGTATAGCGAGTCTCGACGCAATGAAGCCTAAAGATGCTTATCGTGCTCCGGTGTAAAGTTTGGCGGCAGTCAAACACGCTTGTTACAACGTGCTGATGTGGCGTACGGTAATCGCGTCCGAAGAAGAGACCGTCGGCCGTGGCGCTCGCGTGAACTGTCGAAATGCTATGGAAGAAAACAAAAGCGCAATATTACGGTAGTTATCGTCGTCTTGTCAGCGTCATCAACGATGTCGAAAGGCATGGCAAGAACATTGCGCTCTGACGTCGAACACACAAACGCCCGTCATTTCTTACTCCACCCTACAAAAATGGAATATGCCATAGGCAGCTCCATTTGGAGCTGTGCCAGCCTGGCCACTTCGACCTGGGCACAGTACTGAATAGTCAACCCATGGAAGGGAGAGGAATATTCAAGCCCAGTCGAAAATGTTTATTTGTGTAATAATTATTTCTTCTCTGAGTTGCGTCGCTCCCCTTATCTTCATATGCCGTTTTACTGTGCTGTTCTTCTTTCTTTTTTTTTTTTTTTTTTTTTTTTTTTTTTTTTTTTTTTTTTTTTTTTTTTTTTTTTTTTTTTTTTTTTTTTTTTTTTTTTTTTTTTTTTTTTTTTTTTTTTTTTTTTTTTTTTTTTTTTTTTTTTTTTTTTTTTTTTTTTTTTTTTTTTTTTTTTTTTTTTTTTTTTTTTTTTTTTTTTTTTTTTTTTTTTTTTTTTTTTTTTTTTTTTTTTTTTTTTTTTTTTTTTTTTTTTTTTTTTTTTTTTTTTTTTTTTTTTTTTTTTTTTTTTTTTTTTTTTTTTTTTTTTTTTTTCTTTTTTTTTTTTTTTTTTTTTTTTTTTTTTTTTTTTTTTTTTTTTTTTTTTTTTTTTTTTTTTTTTTTTTTTTTTTTTTTTTTTTTTTTTTTTTTTTTTTTTTTTTTTTTTTTTTTTTTTTTTTTTTTTTTTTTTTTTTTTTTTTTTTTTTTTTTTTTTTTTTTTTTTTTTTTTTTTTTTTTTTTTTTTTTTTTTTTTTTTTTTTTTTTTTTTTTTTTTTTTTCTTTTTTTTTTTTTTTTTTTTTTTTCTTTTTTTTTTTTTTTTTTTTTTTTTTTTTTTTTTTTTTTTTTTTTTTTTTTTTTTTTTTTTTTTTTTTTTTTTTTTTTTTTTTTTTTTTTTTTTTTTTTTTTTTTTTTTTTTTTTTTTTTTTTTTTTTTTTTTTTTTTTTTTTTTTTTTTTTTTTTTTTTTTTTTTTTTTTTTTTTTTTTTTTTTTTTTTTTTTTTTTTTTTTTTTTTTTTTTTTTTTTTTTTTTTTTTTTTTTTTTTTTTTTTTTTTTTTTTTTTTTTTTTTGCGCGAAACTTCGGTGATTTACCAGCTGAATACGATATTTTTTCAATGCCCCGCTCTCAACGGATGTCAGCACAGCACATCGATTGGTTGGAAGATTTCGGTCGAGTCCAACCAACCCCCGCCCCCGCCCTGGTTCCCATCCCGATCGAAGCTGCGAGCGGAGAAGGGGGTGTATTGTTTAGTATAAAGGAGACAGGAAAACCACGAAAAGTCACGACGCTCATTCAAAAAAACAAAAGAGATAATAAGGAACCTCCCAGCAAACGAGTAAATACGACCATACGACCCCCCCCTCTCTCACAGCGACCAAATAGCACCCCACACTGCGGGAATCCCCAACAACGACGTGCCCTATGTCGAGTAGAGGGAGAGGAGAAACTTGGTGTGAAGGAAAAAAGTTCGGCGCTGCTCGCCTTGAAAGAAGAATTTGCATAATCGCTAGTTTACTAATTCATCTCAGCTTCACAGTAGGTCCCTTTTCGCTGAGACGCTTAAGCTCTTGTGGAGCTGCAAAAAAATACAAGTGAGCCACTTCAGTTACAGGAATTCACAGTTCTATACGGTGAATTCCTGTAACTGAAGTGGCCTTGACAAACTAGCTGAGTACCATTTGGCGCGCCCACCATGCCGAGCTGCGCCAACAGCTCACCCAAGTGATGAGACGACTTCAATGGTAACAGCATGCCTTCTTACAACCTGCTGGCTGCAGCTACAAGTGACTGCTATAGCTGGATCTGGGCTTTGTACAGGCTTTCAAAATTTTCTTTTCTATCCAGTACTGTAGCGCCGTCAGGGAAAAGTCAAAAGAAGGTGCCATTTACACACTGGTCTCAGGCGTGCCGACACGACAGTGACAGAGGATATTTAGTGCCAGTAAGTCATCCTGATTGGAGGGACTGATACTGCTCAAAGAGGGGTAGTTACATGTACTGGCTGTTTTGCTGATTGTATAACCCGACGGTAGTGAACATCGGGTATACATTAGTAGCCAGTTTCAAACACTCTGCTAGTCTGCTCAGTGGTTGATACAGACGAGAATTTCGAAGTGTGTGCCGTTGTCAAGCCTGAGAACTGGACGATCCGAGCTCGCGTATTGTACAGTGGTGCCATGAGTACTCCACTGAAGCTTCAAAGTGTGGCATCGCAGGCATAGCAACTGGAGCCAGTGTCTTCCACCTGAAGTGCCTTCCGAACGTGGAGGTCATACCCCGTCAGTCCTCCTCGACCGTCGCAGATTTCGAATGTGACTCCCAGAAATGTAGCCTGGATTGTCGAGGCCTCGACCATCGTTGGCAACATGTAGGCCAGCAATTCCAGCCAAGTTGCAAAGTCAGCACTGGCAAGTTGCCAAAACTGCTGTCGAGGTAAATATTGTTCAAATTCCAATGCGATCAATGATCAGCCTGAGCCTAACTCGTTTTTTCAAATTGGGCCAATGAAGGGGCGTTATTTCCGTAGCTGAAGCTCTGGTATCGGCCAGAGGTGGGACATAGTTCCCCTTTTTCCCCCAAAATTTTTTTTTCCCCCCTTGCAATTGTTCTCCTGTCTGTGCTGGGGTGGTGTAGATTTTGTGAGATAGTTGTTAACGAAACTGTTAGAACGATTCGAGTAACAGCGGTTTACGGGTAGCCATTCGTATATGTAGGGAGGGTGGCTTCAAAAGGCAGATGCTATGCTGATAATGTGGGCGGAGTTACTTTGACGACTGTGCCACCCTCACTGGTGCACTTGTTACTTGGTAAAAATGTTCCATCGATAATAAGCGCAGAGCCCTCCCAGCGATTTTACCAACGATTAGTGTGGAACCTTCCCTTTGAAAGACCCTGCCCTTTTACTTTCTCGAAGTGTCAGAGATCTTGTTGCAAGACATTAAAGTTTATCTTTTCACAGGGATCATTGAACAACTATAGGGGCCCTCCATACCTCGAGGTCATGTGCACTTCACTTGTCAGTCTCGACTCGAAACCTTTACTCGACTTTAGTATTACGAAAGTTGTTATACTTACAGATTCATTACTTTTCAGTAAACTCACACTTGGTATCGTGTCCTGGGAGCAGATATGATCCGTGAGGAGTTTATCGCGAATTTCCCAAGCAAATATACTTGGTTGTTCCCGTTTATACTCCTCGATCTTCTCCACCACATTGTTGGTCGCCACTCTGAAATTCGATCGATAAAAACTGTTTTCGTGAATTACGTTTAATGAGAAAGTTACTGCCGCTATAACTGTACGCCAACATGAGTTATTGTAAACGCATTACTGCTGCTGACTAACATTACTAATGCAACATTACTAACGAACGCAATACTAGTACAGTAGCTGTTACAAAACAATTACTGGGTTAGAGTTCGCCCATTTAGCAGCATTTAAACTGCGTTGATATTGCTGCCAAAGAGCCCAAAAGGTTCCCAGAAAGTTCACATAACCACTTTGCCTCGCGCATCTTTCGTTGCTTACTTTGATTTACTTGACAAAATGAACAAATCGATTTTTTTTGCATAGCGGATTCCATGGCGTCTTTTTAAAAGTTGTGCATTAGGATTTGCCAGACATAGAGACGACAGGATCTACCAGAAACAATCTATTTACTGTTTTTGGCATAGCAAAACCTTATGACAAAGCAGTAACTGGAACACTAGATAACTTATTTTTAAGCCTTTTCCGCTAGAATGTCCTTCCTCAAGATGTACTGCGGATTGTACTGAACATGAAGGGCAAGTCGAATGAAGCGATATTTTGGAGAGGGATTCTTTATCAGTAGCATAATCAGATTGTTTTGAGGCACTTCTCCCCATCCAAGTCTTCCCAGAACCTTTCTAGCCTTCACAATAGTCATAACTGAATTCAGTAGGGGCGTGTCAGCGGCGCGTGGGTTTTCGCGTGCGTCAGCCGTCTTTCCACCATTCCCTGAACGTCCCAAATGGCATCCATCGATGGAAAACAGGTTCCCGACTGACTTCTGCAATAACAACTGTAAATGTTTATTTGGCCCACGCAACTACTTGACCCGTCTCCATATTTCCTCCGCTGCTCACTGGGATGCGATGACACTCGTTCAAATGTTGGTTTAGTGTAAACGAAAGGCTCAACCAAACAAAACTTATAATCACATGAAATTTAAAGGTAACCCCATGGTATAACTGGTTTTGGCTTGAGAGCAAAAAACCAACGGCAGCGAATAGGAGTAAGGGAACTCACGAGGCGCTAATAATGTGTTTGTTTTAACGTGAGGGTCGAAAGGAGTCCGACAAATGCGAAACGATGAAATAGCAATAGGGTACTACGAAGGGATTCGTGAGCGCGCTGTGCAACTGAGCAAAAGGGATATAAAGTGAGGTCACTGTTGCAGATTTCAAATGCTTCATCAAGAGATAAGAGGAAGGCTGACTTTTAATCTCCTCGACAGAGAGCTCACAAGAGAATACAGCTTGTGTACGGACTGAGAGGATAATCCGTTGCCATATAACAAGGCTTCAACATCCTCTCATCACTGGGAATAGTAAAGCGCAAGCGTGAGTAAGCCAGAAATGGTGTTGCCACCCGCAACTCTGTATACTTATCCTCATAACTGACCTGCTAGTCGGTGCCAAATAGCTGATTCCAGTAATAAGCAACTTTCATGAATTTTTAGGTTGCCGTAAAAAAGTCTAGTGACAGATTGATTGAGGAAGTTTTGATTGCGGCAAGGCGATCGATTGTGTAGATAGAAGTCGCCGCAGATCAGTCCTGGGCGGCTATCAGGAGGGCGGAAAATAGGCCCGCGCTTTGAGCTGCGAATCTCGATCAGGGGATTTCCTTTGGTTGCTTTTATTGGGATGAGGTGCATTTTGAGGCGAGCTGAACAAAACTCATTTGGTCTTTGCCTGCGAAGCAAGGCAGAATGACGGGTTGTTCAGGAATGAAAATTATTGGCCCATGAAAAACGCATTCTGCGCTACATGGGTTCAAGTGAAAAAAAAATTGGTCACGCCCTCTCCATGGTTAGGATACGGTGTGTATCTCGTGCACAGCTGGACTGATATCCTTAACCAATGTCATGAGTGGATTCTTCGTCGGAGAACTCTCTGCTCAGCGGGAGAGAAGTTGGCGAATCCGAGCAAGGGTCATACCGCGAAGCGGTGTGCGGTCTAGGTAATGTAAGTAAGTACGTACACTACAAGAGTAGCTTGTTAACTTGATTTATTGGGTGATGTCCCTCTTCCACATAACATGGTCACCTCATTGTTACGACTGAACATTAGGTATCCTCGCTGAAAGATGGATTGGTGAGGGGGGGGGCGTTGTACTTGCTCTTGAGGAGAGCCGTTTCTGTTGTCGACCATTCTCGGCCCTTCCTACTTCAAGTGGTGCATGGTTCAGAAGTTCTCACTTCAGGATAAACATTCAGGAAGAATGTGGGTAGGATAGGAAAGAGTGGGAGGTGTGGCGAGAGAGAAACATCTTTGGATAGGGGGGCGTATTTTGCAAAAATTTGCCTCATTGGGAGGAAGCGCCTTTTCACATATACAGTGTAAACATCTGGCATTTGTCTCATCGGAGAAACTACTAAACGGAAACCAGTTCAGGAGCTTAGGTGAAAGGAAGTGAGATTCCTAAGCTGAACGTGGTACAGTCTCCGACTAACGGTCTTAATATTATTGTTATAAAGGACGCCAATAAGCAAGGAATCTGCCATTTTATGGGTCAAATGTCGCTCTTTAAGTCGCACTTTCAGGGCGCTGTAGCTCGATCACCATTGGATCGATCGATATCGACCGTAGACTGAAGGAGTGGAAATCGAAGTACATATTTCAACCAGTTAAGAGCTATTTGGGCCAGAATAATTTCTGCAGTTTGATCAACCTGAAGGGTGCTACTGTACATCCTATCAAGTCGGGATATACAGTAAGACGCTTTTATCAATTGATTTCTTACAATTTTCAACTTGAAGGCTACTAATGTTTTGTTGCAGGTTCCATCGAAGACCGAGTCCAGCGCTTATGAGATCCGTAGATGGAAGGATACTTCATGGAATCTTCCCCGACAAGGAAGCGATAAAGATGACCTGGTCTAGGGTGGCCGAGGCCCATCACTTAGCCTTGTTCATCGTCTATTGATTCGAACCCGAAAAGTGAAAAAAAAACCCCAAAGAAGGAGACGGCATTCGGTGCCGCGGTAGATCGAGGACAACGCTCTTTTTCATCCACAGGGATCGTCAGCATGTTTTCGAACGAAGAAAAAAAATACTTGATGTCTAACTGGTTGAGCAATAAAAGTCCAGTGGAAGAAATCGATTGTGAATAAAGTTAACCATTGCACGTGCAGCTTTCCGTAACTATGTGCAATGTTTCGTGCTATTGGGATGACATCGTGGAGGGTTTGGCTCTTCTGTTTTAGGATAACGTTTTGTTGTAACCTATTGATCCCTCGCGATATTTGCAATATTTTTTTCGGCGTGTTGTTGCGCTATACATGCCTATAGGTTTGGAGGTAAACAGAAATAAATATATACAGTCCTCATCATTACGTACTGTCGGGGCGGTTCAGTGCGGCTGCGTTTGGCGCGGTGCCAAACCCGCTCTCCACCAGTATTTAAAGCGAGCAAATGATATGACTGTATTATATCCTCCGTATTACTCGTTTTCTACCACTTTTTGTCGCATACGCGTTTCAACAAAAAGGCTGAGAACGGCTTCAACAGTGTGCACACTCATACTGGCTGACACGCCCCACCGGTCCGCAATGATGAGGACTGTATCTCAAATTATGATCGCATTGTATTTTGATAAGCTAGAACTCTGGAGACAAGTTGCGATTCTACTAAAAGTTATAATTCTTATTTTGGAGATGAAAAGAGTGTGGCTGGATGATTCATTTGAATGTGGTACATCTTCATCCGCTTGAGACAATTGTCATCCTCCTTGAAAAAAACCGTAATTTCAATAGGCTCGCTACGTCCATATCCTACCAGAAGCGCAGACACCGCCAAATGAAGCACGTAACCACGCCCATCCCCTCTCCAGGATGTTGAACGCACCGCATTGAACGTGATGAGTAAGAACCATAGAATGGCCCGATATTGGAAACCCTGAGAGCTGCAGAGAATAAAGTCATATTCTGGGCATTCTGACCAAAAAAGCGCGACCACTTGATGGATGAATCTTGATGATCTGACGAACCGTCTTCTATATTCCAGATAGTGCGGTTGCTCAAACTTAAAGGAAAGGTAAATGCAAGCGCTTATGTGGGAAGGTAGTGGGGCCCGGAGTGGACAGCCCTGTGCTAGTTTCGCAGCGGAAAGTTGTACGGCAAAGGAATTAAGGCAGCAAAGTTTTTCCAGTGACTCCGCCTCCAAAGTCGGCCTTCCAGCCAAAAGTAATGCTCCCGGGCAAGTATCATGGAGTGGATGCATTCAATGTCTCTTGTAGAGTCATAGGGTTCATTACTGGGAATCAGCCGACGGGAATGTCCCAGTCTTTTCGGTCTTTACCTCTACAGTTGTTTGAGGCTAGAGGAGGCCTGACGAATGCGTTTCCAACGTTCCCTTTGGCATTTTCTCTTCATAGACGGTTCACTTGGCGAATTTTCTTCCACATTTCTGCAACATCACCTAGGCTTTTTATCGCGGACCGTGCCTTTAAAGCCGCCTCACTACTTGGCTCGCGATAGTCAAATAATTCGATTGGCGTTATTCAGCCATTGATGACAACCTATTCAATATTTAGGGCAGTATCGATTTTTCGGAGCTTTTCCCTCTGCAGGAAATCAAGCAGGAGGTTGGCTTCCAGGGTATTTCGATTCCGCTTCAGTATAATATCGAAATTGTGTGAAACCTACTTCACATTCTCCATTTTCCAGTAGTGGTTGTGATTAGATCCGACTTACGAGAAACTGTCAAGCTACGCCTTCTTGGAAAATAATTCGACGCGTTTTCAATGATAATGTTACGATTGTAAGCTAGCGTAGGGTGTGCAGTGAGTGGCAAATGGTACGCTCACTACGTGGGCGGTCCTGTGGTCAAATCCCGGATCAGCTCCCGCCTAGCCCAGCCAAATCTTGTGCTCTACGTAGGCGACGAATTGCTCCCAGTTTCGTCCGACAGGAGAAAAACCCCAGCTTCTACGTTGGCTGGCCCTCGCAATACATTTTTCAAGCCAAATTGTAATCAAAAAGCCGCCACAGTTCTTACAAGAAGAACGACGCGTGTCGCATCCCAAAAAAGGATTGAAAGACTTCATTTTATTCTTTTTATCTTGGGAATGCTGCCAAGAATTGAGTGCTAACCGTTTAGTTCAAAATGTTTCTTATCATTACAGATAGATCACCCAAACTTCCGAGTCACTTCCAGTTTTGGATACAGACTAACATAAGACACAATGTGCAACCGAATGACAGGCCCCGGTCAGGTCA